CTTCAAGGCTTCAATGCAGAACTGGATTAATCCTGTTGTCCGAGATAATTTTGCTGTACAACGTGAGATTTGCTCTCGGAGTATTTGCTTCTAAAGATTTTTTTATTGGATAGAGATATTGCAAATTGAAAGTAATTATGAGTTCCGCGCCTTTCTAAATAAATGCAACAGCACAAAAGCTTAGTTTATCGGATTTACCGAAAAAAAAGGTTTACCGAAGTTTACCAAAGCTCCATTATTACCGAAATTTTGATCACACTGCGTAAGGATTACGCGCAAAACTTTCCATCAAAAAATAACCGTCGTATGGTGAATTTCAGGTTGTAAGGTTTACTACTCAAATATCTATTAAGAGAGCATAGGCTAGTTAAGTGAGCTCTTATTATCTTAAGATGTTTTCCCTCAGCTTGACAACTATGTTTAACTTTTTTAAATCAGTAGGCACTAGCAGAAAACTTCACTTTTTAACATAAACAGCATAGGGTCTTAGATGCTCAAGCATGGTAAACTTACCAAACATTTTGGAATTTTTCATTAGTCAAAGTTTCTCTTCTTCTCTTTTTCTGCCTAAGTTTTGGTTTTTTAAATTAAATCTGGATTTTTTCCATGTCCCTACCTTATGATCCTTTTCCTCCTCCACATGTCGCATCAACTGCTCCTTTCTCGTTTGCAATTGCTCGATCAATGCATCTATTTGTATGCACAAATTCGACTTGAAGTCATTGCATGAATTCTAAAAAAGCCGCATCGAATGGCATCAACCGTTGAGCGATAGCATACACTCTCAAGAATTTTTTTCCATAGAAAATCCATTAGGAAAGAGGAAAAATGCTGACCATGCTGCACTTACATTAAGGTTATCGTGCATTTGTTTTAACCGACCAATTTCTTCCGTTGCAGTTCGAGCTTTTTCGCTTAGCTGTTGCAGGGTTGTGGAAAGCTCAGCCTAAAATAAAAATTTATAATAAAAACTGAGATAACCGGAGGGAGAAATCAAAGAGCTTTGGGGCAAAGTAGTGTTTAGGAGCAGGTACATCTAATTGTCCTAAGTAGCCCAAAATGCAGTGTATAATGAAAAATAGCCTTGAGGAACTGAGCTATAGCTGCAAACGTACTTCCTCACTGGGTTTGCGATAAAGATAATATGAAAGGCAAGCTAACTTTGATGCTTTAGCACGATGCACCTAAAAGCGCGCAAGGAATTGTCCAGAATTTATAAAAAATTCCGTCCCCTATTTCTCCTTCTTACAAAGTGTCGCTACATACCTATACCACCTACCAATGCAACGCGTTGCATCCTCTTTTGAGCAATCCATGAAACAGAAAAGTTCTACAAAATTCTTTAAATTACAAGCTTTAACATTTTTTTTGCAAAAATTACTTCTAAACTGAGACTTTCCGTGATATTTGCAAATAGAAACTTCCATAGTGCTAGTGCACCTTTCCTAGAAAAATTTCCAAAAATACAGGTGATTTTCGTAAGCGAAAAAATTTTTATGATTAGAATAAGTCCTCCCGCTTACCCCGAAATTTTATTGTATTTTACTACCAGTTCTCATAAAAATGTTTTTCTCCCTACAATGATTTCTTTCTATTTCTAAAATTTTCCTCTTTTTTTTTTATCCCGCAACTTCTTGCAAGGCTCCATGTACTCTTTCTCGATTCACATTGACAATGCAATACTGGCGTGTTTGTCGCGTGCGCCCAGTGAAGCCGTCATTCAAAAGTGACGAACAAGCTGCTTCTACGCTCTAAATGACATCTAAGCAACATTGTACGGTGCCAAATTGCCGCAATTCTTCGACAATTCCCGGCATCCGACCAGCTGCTTATGCGCGAGATCTGCGCGTGACGAAGGCAAAGCGTATAGGTGTCTTTGTTGTTTGTTTAGAGGAGGAAATCTATGTAGTTGAATTGAATCATATGCCTCATTGCATTGTTTTCTAGGGGAAAATTTATGGTTCAGTGAGTTGTATTGATAGTAAAAGCCGTAATCACGACGTATACATCCAGATATCGGCTTAGAGAATTTAATGCTTCAATGTGGGGAGCGAAATATGTGGAGAAGAGGGGGGTGATTGACAGCGTCAACAAGAGTAAGCAGAATCTGATAGGTGTTGAGTTGTGACGCAACGTTGACGTTTT